AAATATTATTAATGAGATTTAGCATGTGGCAAATTGTTTAGTAAATTTTTACCTAGACTTCGAACCTTCTGTTTTTTTCCTTTGCTTGAAGTTTTGTTCTTTAGAAGACGGTCGTCCTGCTTGGATGCGTTTAGCACCAGAAGTTATTAGTCGTTTGCGCCTGGATCTGGAAGTTGGCTTGTTTCCGATACGATTTGCACGACGAAGTTTATTGAAATTAAAATCAACCAAATCAGATAATGATGTTATTTTTTCCAATTGTTTGTTAAACTGTTTTATATTTTTGAGCATCAAACTGTTAGGGTTACTTTGAGCAATGTTTTTTATTCGGTCGATGTTATTTTGTAATACATTGATTTCTAAATTTAAATGTTGTTCATAGCCATTATTTTCCATATTATTTTGCGATTCATGTTCAGTTATACTTTCATCAGCAGGTAACATAGAATTAAAAAAAGTTGACATGTTTTTTTCAGAAGTTTGACATATCGATTTGTCTAAATATTGTCTCAAAACAATTTAAACATAATTTAAATTTACAATTTTTTTTTGTTTATTTTGAAAGTCGAATACAAAGTAAAATAACAATAAAATACAAATCGATATGCCGTTTCCTCAAAAATATTATTCTCTATCTTTTTTGTAATGGGGGATTTTACTCTAAGATAACTTAAAAACATAGAAAAAATGATTCTGCGTTAATGCGTTTTGTCTATGTTGCGCGTGGGCTAGAGAGAGAAAACAAATAGTGCACTGACATCCTCTTAATAGTCACAATACTTTTACACTATTTAAAATCAATGATACATATTTGTATATAGACATTAGATAGCTATTAAATTCGTAGAATGATAATGATAATGTCGTTATTTAAATTTTTTTTGAGAACGTCTCAACATTGTAAACAAAAATACGTTCCTGGTTTGAAAAAAAAAAATGTTTATTTCGTATTTCTATTTACTCTAAACAAATAATAATAATATTAATAGGTACAAAATCAGGGGGCCCCAATTACCATAATTAAGCCAGGGCCCCATCCGCAATTGCGGACTAGCGATCCGGGCCGCGTATTTACGGATGCTACTCGAGACTGGCCAATGCCCAATAGATCCCAAATTCAGTTAGGTTTCGTAAAACAAATTTATTTTGCGGATACTACTCGAGTCTGGCCACTATGTAATATACCGCTATACTCAAATAAAGACTCATAAAGTTCAATATGAAAGCTGTTATTTTAATGTAATTTACCGCTATACCTACTATGAATATTTATCTAAATAAATCTATTATTTAAATTTTATTCTAATTTTGTTGATAGGTTAAAAATATGTAAAAACATTATTATTAACGATGTATTTGCGACTGTATCTTATTGAAAAAAAATAATGTATAATCTAATATGTAGAATGTAGATATATTTTATAGCTACAGCTAGGAAAGTGTCAGACTATTCAGCTTAATGTTATTTTTTGGACTTACAATAATTTTAATAATTTTCATATACTCGTATTATTTGAATGTCTGTATTTTTTGTCTACGATATCTACATCCTTTCCTAAGCAATCAGTCTTTAAACTAGAAAGCAAGAATATTAAATAATTTTTTAAGCAAATAAATAAAAACTATTATAATATTCTTAGTTAGACATTAACAGACTAAAAATATGGTATCAATTGCCATGTATGATTTAATATTTATATATTAATAGCTACAGGTGGGAGAGTATCCTAAATATAAACCTTAATGTCGGGTTGTATATTGAGGATTACAAGTTTTTTTCTCCTTGGAATTATTAGTAGAAACGATATCATTTGCGAGGTCCATTGGTTCCATAAATGTATGATCGAAATCTTTACCATTAGCAAGGTTACCTAATTCAATTCTATGTTTCGTTGATAAATTCACAACATTTTCGATGTTAAATCCATTCAACTGTATGGCACAAATATGTTTACAAAATGTATCTCCTTGACCAAACGCACATTCACAGTGTTCAAATCCATCATAAACTTTAACAGTATAATATATATCATTATTAGAATGGGATGACACTTTATAAGATGTGTTATCGATCTGAATAACTTTTAAATCATTTGCTTTGTTACAAAATTAATTATATTGAATTTCTGGCTTTGTAATTCTATATGACGCAAATTTAATTAGACGTCTTTTATGATAATTTTCTAATACCTTAAATATAAAATCTACCAGTGCGCCGCATTAAATGCCTTACAACGTTCCAGTACCACATCCTTAAAAATTCTTATAGATGATTCAATTATATTATTTGTGTTGAGACCGTAAGTTGAATATGTTTGTCGATAGCAAATTGCCCACTCGTTCATTCTGCTTCTTAATGACTTCATATGTTTGGAATATTGTTCATGGTCATCATTTGGACATAATTCATCCATTCCTCTTTTAGCTTCTTCTTCATCATGAGAAAAAAGGACTGTTCTAAATTTAAGCATTTTAGCCTGCCTTTCAGATTTTTCTATTTGATGTTTACTCTCCCACAACCATCTCCACAAAGCCTGACAAACGTGAAATTCGCACATTAGTAAAGTTGATGCTGGAAAAGCAGCTTTTAAAGCTTGCCGTTCTGCAGAACTATCGTCAGTCATAAATAATGATGGCTATAATTGTCCATAAAATGCAATTTTACCTAGACATTTTTTTAATAAACTGAATGCTCGTAAGTAATCTTCTTTTGTTTGCTGCTTATGTATATCTACCCTATAACATAAGGAATGCCACCTACTTTTGACGCACCAAAAAAAAATGTTATGGTAGAGTTACCTTGATCACAACTGCTGCTAGAATCAACGAATACTATATCTTTCGAAAATGAATAACTATGAGCCCTTTTAATGATAGGAGTTACTATTGTGGATTTTCTTCAATTTCAATAAATCCTCCATTTTCTTCAAACATCGACTTTTTTTCTAAAAGGACTTTGTATACTCCTGTATCACTTCTATCCCCAAAATGAGTTGACCTACATTAGAAGAAATAGGTAGGACAAGTAATTATAATGTTGATAATTATAACCTAATATAAATCAATAAAATATTTAGCATATAATTCTTCCTATATGATCCATAGACAATATTATATAATAAATGTAGCATATCCGTCCTAAATAAGGGAGGGGGAGCAAATGGAGCAAGTGCCCTAGTGCGTACAAAGTATTACGAATTTAAAATACTATAAAACAAAAATGTTGTATTTTATTTCATAGTATATTATGTTAGTATTAAGTACACAAATAAACAATTTGATCTGAGGTAGGTTCATTGATTATTCAGGTCCAGTTATGTATAACTCGTTGACTTTAAATATTGAAAAAAATATTTTTGATAATTTCACTTTAAAATCTAATGATATTAAGTAGGTACATTAAAATAATGGTTAAAAATTAGTTATTAAGCGAATTTGTGTAAATATTTATACTTTATTGTGTAACTTTAATAGAAGGTTATCTGTAAAATTTAGTTTTAGTGATATATGTTTTAGTCAACATGTAAAATTATATTTTATTCTCTTAATACTGGTCAATGTATCGTAAATCATTTAGCCCACCACAAGCTTTGCTTTCTGGGTTAAATTATAATAATCTACCTATGTGATAATATGTAATATATAATGTTGGTCTAATAAAAGAAAAGAAAAATATAGGTAATAACTTTTTTTTTATACTAAAAAAATGCACTTATTTAAATTTGTGAATTACACGAAAATGTGTATGAAAGTTTACAAATTCTTTTGTAATTAAAAATCAATAAAATGTTCAGTATTATTAAACCTAACACTTGAAAATTTAACATAAATTAATAGTTTTCAAAACCGTCGAGAAAAACAAAAAAGTAAAATAAAAATAAAATAAATTGGTCCTACAGATTTGTATAATAAAAATATAATATTTAATAAGTATGTAGTGCACCTCACTCGTAGTACCTAATTAACAGACGCAACAATAATACCAACTATTAATTTGAAATCCACACATATAAAAAAATACTTAAACTAAAAAAGCGGGTAAGTGGATGGTATTAAATTTGGTTTCAATTTTATAATATTATCATTGTATACGAAAAACAATTCTGAGTGGAGATGGTTTGCCAGTCTAGGATATGTTGTAAGTACTATATTAATTATATTGTTATTATTAAAAAAAAAAAAAAAAATGTTCCTATATGTATACTTATGGAATTAATTCCAAATTAATCAAATCAGATTCATAATTGATTTATTATATACCCAAATAACCCAACTCACTCAGTCATTCATAGTAGGTATATACATTATACAATTTAAAGTACCCTCGATTAATAATTTTTTATTACAGCAATATAGCTAAAATTGTTATTTTTGGTTATTTAATTGGTAATTCCATCCAAATTTGAACTAATAACTAGAAAAAAACACTGAGTTTGAATCGTTTTTAGATTTTTTTACAGCAGAATTAACTATTTACGTGGAACCTTGTTTTAAATTTTCAATTTATAGCTATAAAATTTAAACGTTTTATATATTTTTATAAACTGAAGAATTTGTAATCTTTCAATTAAATAAATTTTGTCAAAATTTGAACTTTAAATGGCTATAAAAAACGTGCTTATGTATTTTTAATATTTGCTTCATGTTTAATCAAATTGCTGTTATATAAACTTATGGGGAATCTTGTATTACATTTTCAAGTTTTTTAACCAACGGATAAAATTTTATTGACATAAAAAAAAAACTAAAAAAAAATTGGAAATTTCAAATGTTTATAAATAGCTTAAAAAGATTTAAAATATTTCGAAAATTTTATCATGTATATAAAATGCCAGTATATACATTTAGTGAAAATTTCATGTTTTTACGGTACCTAATCTGTTTTAGAGTTACAACAATTAATGTTTGTGTGATTCACTAATATAAATAAGTGCATTTTTTCATACAAATAATATTTTATAGATATAACTGATATAAGACAAGAAGATATTTAATTTTTACTAACCTCCATGGCTCCATGTTTCAAATAGTTGATATATTTGACGATCGGTAGGATCGATTTGTGCATTAGCTAATTGTTTAATGCACTCCATATTATCCGTATCGTCAATAGAACTAGTGAGTTGTACTTCGTGATATGTTTTAGCAGCAGCAGGGGTCATTCCACCATTAAAATAGGTAATACAATTTTCGCGGACCTCCTCGCTTACTCTAAGGTAGCTATATGCTTCAGCATTATAAACTCTATGAGTATGGACAAATAGGTACTACCTACCCGAAAATAAAATAAATTAAAAACCTAAAAGTTAGTAAAATAAAATAATTTATTTGTTTGGAAAAATTGTCTTACCTTTATTTCTGTGTCTAAACCTTGACGCATATATTGATATTTTCTTTGTGTGTTCACAGTATTTTTTTTTACTACAATTTTAATTGATGCACTGCAGTTTTTATCACGTAACCTTGTCAAATCAGAATTATGACTTTTATTCTTTGATGAATGTTGGCATATGTAGTCTTTACGATAAACATACATTTGTTTGTTAGGAAATGTACATCTAACTATGTAATTTGTTTTTGAATATAATGAATATTTCCGAACCCAATCATCGCAACCTTTACTGTATGAATCATCGACTTGGAAAATTTTTGTTCTAATTGTAGCATTATATTCACTATCATTAACGATATTACACTTCACTACTTGGACATTAGAATCGAAATTAAAAAAGTGAGACATATTTGTAGATGATACAAATGTAAATAAAATTATATTTTCAAAATATCATAACGTGCGTACCTACGTAGTAAGTTTAAAGTTACCAACTAATAATATTTAAGTGTGATAAGTTAAAAGTGTAACTGCGAAAGCAATAACTATTAATAACTTTTGTAATAGGAAAAATAATGTAATCCTCAATATACAACCCGACATTAAGGTTTATATTTAGGATACTCTCCCACCTGTAGCTATTAATATATAAATATTAAATCATACATGGCAATTGATACCATATTTTTAGTCTGTTAATGTCTAACTAAGAATATTATAATAGTTTTTATTTATTTGCTTAAAAAATTATTTAATATTCTTGCTTTCTAGTTTAAAGACTGATTGCTTAGGAAAGGATGTAGATATCGTAGACAAAAAATACAGACATTCAAATAATACGAGTATATGAAAATTATTAAAATTATTGTAAGTCCAAAAAATAACATTAAGCTGAATAGTCTGACACTTTCCTAGCTGTAGCTATAAAATATATCTACATTCTACATATTAGATTATACATTATTTTTTTTCAATAAGATACAGTCGCAAATACATCGTTAATAATAATGTTTTTACATATTTTTAACCTATCAACAAAATTAGAATAAAATTTAAATAATAGATTTATTTAGATAAATATTCATAGTAGGTATAGCGGTAAATTACATTAAAATAACAGCTTTCATATTGAACTTTATGAGTCTTTATTTGAGTATAGCGGTATATTACATAGTGGCCAGACTCGAGTAGTATCCGCAAAATAAATTTGTTTTACGAAACCTAACTGAATTTGGGATCTATTGGGCATTGGCCAGTCTCGAGTAGCATCCGTAAATACGCGGCCCGGATCGCTAGTCCGCAATTGCGGATGGGGCCCTGGCTTAATTATGGTAATTGGGGCCCCCTGATTTTGTACCTATTAATATTATTATTATTTGTTTAGAGTAAATAGAAATACGAAATAAACATTTTTTTTTTCAAACCAGGAACGTATTTTTGTTTACAATGTTGAGACGTTCTCAAAAAAAATTTAAATAACGACATTATCATTATCATTCTACGAATTTAATAGCTATCTAATGTCTATATACAAATATGTATCATTGATTTTAAATAGTGTAAAAGTATTGTGACTATTAAGAGGATGTCAGTGCACTATTTGTTTTCTCTCTCTAGCCCACGCGCAACATAGACAAAACGCATTAACGCAGAATCATTTTTCTATGTTTTTAAGTTATCTTAGAGTAAAATCCCCCATTACAAAAAAGATAGAGAATAATATTTTTGAGGAAACGGCATATCGATTTGTATTTTATTGTTATTTTACTTTGTATTCGACTTTCAAAATAAACAAAAAAAAATTGTAAATTTAAATTATGTTTAAATTGTTTTGAGACAATATTTAGACAAATCGATATGTCAAACTTCTGAAAAAAACATGTCAACTTTTTTTAATTCTATGTTACCTGCTGATGAAAGTATAACTGAACATGAATCGCAAAATAATATGGAAAATAATGGCTATGAACAACATTTAAATTTAGAAATCAATGTATTACAAAATAACATCGACCGAATAAAAAACATTGCTCAAAGTAACCCTAACAGTTTGATGCTCAAAAATATAAAACAGTTTAACAAACAATTGGAAAAAATAACATCATTATCTGATTTGGTTGATTTTAATTTCAATAAACTTCGTCGTGCAAATCGTATCGGAAACAAGCCAACTTCCAGATCCAGGCGCAAACGACTAATAACTTCTGGTGCTAAACGCATCCAAGCAGGACGACCGTCTTCTAAAGAACAAAACTTCAAGCAAAGGAAAAAAACAGAAGGTTCGAAGTCTAGGTAAAAATTTACTAAACAATTTGCCACATGCTAAATCTCATTAATAATATTTTTAAATGACTACTAATGTCCAATTAAGAATATTATATTATATTGTTATAAAATAATAAAATGAATCTTTACCAAGTTTTTATTTATTTCCTTTATTTTTTTTTAGATTCTGAGTGGAACGAAGAATGTATATTGATTTTACAATGATGTGTGTTTTTTTTTTTTGTGTTTTTCATCACTTTTTAGGACAGTAAAAGTGTTTGGATTTTCTTAAATAGTATCTTTTCTGATAGGAAAGTGAATCTAGTTGGTATTTAAAAAATGACCGTAGGTAGCATATTCTATACACCATAAAATTTTCCAAAAATTTTGACTTATTTTGAGCTATTTACGGACATTTTCATTTTCTACTTTTTTTAGTTTTTTTACTTTAAATATCAATAAAATTTTATCTGTAGGTTATAAAAGCTTAACAATTTAATAGAAAGCTCCTAGAATATTGTTTTAAAGGCATAAGAGAAAAATTAAGAATCCGTGGTTACAATTTTTTTTTATAAGCATTTAAAGTTCAAATATTGACAAAATACGTAAAAATGACGAAAATTTGCAAATTATTTTAAGTTAGAAATTCATAAAAAATTTTCTTTTAAATTCTAAGATTTTAAAATGTAATACAAGATTCCTCATAAGTTTTTCCACCTTTGTTAAAAAAAAAATTCTAGAAGGAAGTCAAATTAAATTTTTATGAGCGTTTGAAATTCATATTTTTACAACGTTTGATATTCGCTCGATTTCTCATGTAACGATTTTCTTATTTTGTTGTAATTCAATAACGAATGACTGTAGATACTTGAAAATTTTACTGAATGTTTATATTAGCATTTTCTATACACCATTCAATTTTCAAAATAATTTGACTCTTTTTGAGCTGTTTACGGACATTGTCAGTTTTCAATATTTTTAGTTTTTTTTCTCTATAAATACCAATAAAAATTTATTTGTTGGGCGAAAAAGCTTGAAAATTTAATACAAGGCTCCTGATATAGGTATTGTTATAATAACAATCGTAAAATATTAAAAATACATTGGCACAATTTTTTTTAAAGGCATTTGAAGTTCAAATTTTGACAAAATTTATCAACATATCTAAAATTATCAATCACTGTAATTAAAAAAATTTTAAATGTTCAGTTATTACTAATTATAACTAAGGATTGAACATTTAAAACAAAGATTCTCATAAATAGTTCATACTGTTACCAGAAAATCTAAAAAATACATAAACACATTTTTTTTTTTACAGACATTTTAAATTCAAATTTGGACGAAATGTTTAATATTTATGTTCTTCAGGTATTAAAATTATTGTAAATCCAAAAAATAACATTAAGCTGAATAGTCTGACACTTTCCTAGCTGTAGCTATAAAATATATCTACATTCTACATATTAGATTATACATTATTTTTTTTTCAATAAGATACAGTCGCAAATACATTGTTAATAATAATGTTTTTACATATTTTTAACCTATCAACAAAATTAGAATAAAATTTAAATAATGGATTTATTTAGATAAATTCATAGTAGGTAGGTATAGCGGTAAATTACATTAAAATAACAGCTTTCATTTTGAACTTTATGAGTCTTTATTTGAGTATAGCGGTATATTACATAGTGGCCAGACTCGAGTAGTATCCGTAAAATAAATTTGTTTTACGAACCCTAACTGAATTTGGGATCTATTGGCCAGTCTCGAGTAGCATCCGTAAATACGCTGCCCGGATATGGCCCATGTATTGGAAAAGACGGTCTGTAGTTAAGTCCGTCTTATTTATAACTTATAAAACGTATATTAAAAATTAATGCAGACCAAACCCTATCGACTAACACCAAAATTAGTGAAAAAAAGGTGGGCATTTAAGTGTCGCTCTACTGTACAGTAGGTTACAATTGGGTCACTGTAATGGCCGGTTTCCGCCAAAAGTGTACCTTTCCCTTTTCCCCCAATTCTCTTTTCCGCCAAATCATAAATTGTTCGATTCCCTTTTCCGCCAAAACCGTACCTTTCTCTTTTCCCCCAATTCACTTTTCCGCCAAATCAAAAAAGTTAGTCTATAGTATTTGAATAATATTTAAATATATATACAATATACATGTCAGTCATATTATAATATATTATAAATTATAAAGTTATTTTTATTTCACATACATGCGTCAGTCATATTATAATTTACATTATAAATTAAAACTATTTTGTTTCTTATCACTATTAAAAAGTGTTATACCTAATATATTATGTATTTTATAAATCAAATTAAAATTATGTTTTTATTTATATTTTACATACATGCGTCAGTCATATATTTTATAATTAATATTATTATACCTTACTATAGTTGTATGATATTTCTTTTACGAAGTCATATCTGGAAATTTAAGAAAAAAATTATAAATATTGACATTAAATTAAAATAGTTAGTCACACTACCTGTCAAGATCTCCATTCGTATAATGAGTTATAAATTGTTCATTTCGATTTTGTCTGTCTCGAACTCGACGATCTTGTGTCACATTTGGTAGGTGGGTACTTCTTAGTTTAACATAGACTTCAGTTTGTACTTCATTAATCAAAACGGTTACTAAAGTATTGATACACGGTGATTCCTTATAAAAATGTCGATTAAAATTCGAATGGAATGATTCACAATTGTTGGTGGTTCGTCTTAAACTTGAACTTGCTGATGCCCAAAGTATTGGAGGATAATCGCAATTTTCGGTCAGATAATTGTCAACTAAGTAGTCTGAATATTTACTAACTTGGTCATTTTGGGGAATGTCAGCCATAAAGTTGTCTATGAAACATTCAAAAACTTCAGTTGGATCTAAGAAAAGTAAGCCAAAAGTATGACGCAACCATTTTCCTTCTTCTGAAGATTGGTCCTGGTAGGCAGTGGATAGCCCTAATTTTTGAATTTGACGATACCATGCTTGGGTGAGGTGAAACCTACAACCGATAATTTGGGTTTGTGGCCAAATTTCATGTATGGCATTTATTATGGATTTTTCGAAATCTGTAGTTATATACTGCGGTAATAATTGCACACCTAGTGTAGAACATTTGTC